TGTCACAAGGAATTTCATTACTGGCTGGAGTGGTTTAAAAAGCTTGCTGCTGCTTTAAGAAGCCAGATTTACATATTTCATGTTTAAAAGATTTACAATATGTCTCACATGCCTGTATAGAAAGATGGAGCTTTCATTATAGGTTTTATGTCACCGCAATACAAGGATTAATACTCTTTCTCCCGCCTTGGTCTGCGCAGCTGGTCACAAGTGACTGGTGTGTTCCTGGTTGACTAAGCTGTAGGGGTGTTTTCATAGTCAAGGAGATGCATTTTTGAGTAATTAAAGCAAGCTTTTACATCCCTCTGTGGAGAAATCCAAAGATAGCAATCCTAGAGAAAGATCAAGGACTGGAGCCTCTTTCCAGGCTTCTGGTTGTTTTCTGTCATGCAGTGGGGAAGGAGAGAAAGGATTGTTGACTTTAATTGCAAAGGTTAATAAGCACTTTGTATCAAAAAGCCAAACCAGAGGAAGGCTCAAAGGGCCAAATTCTGCCCTCAGTGGCCACGTTGCAGCCTTGGCACGGTTGCTGTTTCAGGCTGTTCCATGCTTCAACAGACAGGGATATTTCATCCTTAGGAAGTGTCTCCTCACCAGTGTGTGATGCAGAACACGAGCTAATGGAAGATGCAGCTCCAGTGCTACATGGTAATTGGGCACTTGGGGATGTGCCGTGACATGTTGGGCAAATGTTTTCTGCAAGGTCCCACTGTAGCACAGGTGGGAATTTCTAATGGTCCGTTGAACGCCGTGCACATGTTTCCTCTGTGCTGAGACATGGTTATTTCTCAGCTGGTTTCACTGAGCAATCTGTGTGGTTGGGGGCAGGATCCGCTTCAGAGCGATGCAACCTGCGTCGCTGGATGCTGGAGGATGGGGGGGTTCAACAAGGGGGCTGTCAGAACAAAAAGTGATCAACTGCTGGCCAAAACTGGGCCCTCCTGAAGGTGTAAACCCTTCTGGTTTCATTTTAAGAATATTTTCAAGGTCTGTGGAGTTCTTTGAATACGTGGACACAACTTTTTTCACACTTTACTTACCTGAGGCTGGGGGAACACGCTGTCAGCTCCAAGAAGGTGCAGGACTGGATCCTTTCCTTGTGCATGGTGGCATTTTCCTCCTTTAGCTTTGCCTTTTGCACATTTTTTTGTTTGTTTGTTTGTTTGTTTCTTTAGGTCTGTGGTGAGGTGAGGAGGGGAAAAAAGCATTCTAGGCTATTTCTGAACTAATTTATTTTAAGATGGTGTGGGATTACTGGCTGGTAACTTGTATGGAGCTTCTCAGTCATCTAAGATTTGATATTTCGATAGCTTGCCATTATGTTTGTTTTTTAAGAAATACAGTCTCCAACACTACGATTAATGTTATCTGAAATTTAGCATTCTGAGGACACTGAAGTGATAATTCGTGTTAAGTATGTAGATGGATATAGATATGTATGCATGTGTGAGCAGCATACTCTCCATATTTACACACACACACGAACTATGGACTTAAATATAATTTGAATTGACTTATGTATGTACTTTTTTAAATTACTATAGAAAGAAAATATTTATCTTAAATGTGTTTACATTGACGTTACATTTCTCCTAGTTAAAAGGAAGCTGTGTTTTTCTGTATATACTTGCTTTTAGAGGTTTTGTTGTCCGAAACTTTTTTTTATTTCCCTGGGGATGTTAAATCCTTCCTTTCACCAAGCTAGTGAAAAGTTCTATTAATGTAAGCAGGATCAGAGCTCACCAGGTATGCTTATTGCTGAATTAAGAAATCCTGGGAAAATAGTTACGATGCAAGCGGTAAAATTGCCTTATACACCAGAAGGTGAGATTTAGCACAGAGAAAGTGTATGTTTGCCCCTCATCCCAGCAGCATTCAAGCTCACTCTTTTCACCATGTGATTTCATATCTGTGCTCGGTGCAAGATGGAAAGGGTTTTCATTTCGAAACTGAAGTCAATAATTATGGAGGTTATCATTTTCATGCTCAGAAATTCATGTCATTTTCATAAATCATTCATTTCATTTCATAAATCATGCTTTACAGCTGCAGAATGGAAACTTATTGCTGGACATTGATGAAAATCTTGTTTCAGTCACTCAGGTAAGGTTGTGACACTAAAAATGTTTTAAGGAAATATAGATGAAATCATCTATAGGAATAGTGCAATTTGAAAATGTTCAGCTTGGGATTAACTTCACTGGAATGTAGCTAATATCAGTTGTGAATAATTTAAAAAAGTGGAATGGGTGAAATCAGTTCTGTAGTGACAGTGAAATCACAAAAATAAAAGACAACTGTTTGGTGTCCAGAATCTCTTATGCTGCAAGTGGATAAAACTATGTCTGTGGCAGAGAAGATGCATTCGTTATTCAGGCTGAGAATTGGGTTGTAGAAAAAAGCTAGATCCAGAATCCAGATCTGAACCATTTGTGACTTTAAAATCCCACCTCCAAGTGTTGCTATTCAAAGCCGTCTCTAGCAAGTAAATGAGGAAGTTGTGTTCCCACTAAATTTCTGTTTACAGTCTCTGATGTAGTTCTGTAGCTCCTGTTGCATATAAGCTTCCTATTCTGTGAGAAATAATTCCCCTGTAAATATATTCCTTTTTCTTGGGGAATATTGTGGATGAGGGTTTAATACAACAAATAGTGAAGTCTGATTCCCTATCACTCTCTCCAGCTGCCTGTTTAGAAATCCATCCACCGAGTTTCTCTTAAAAGCTTTAACAGAATTGTATCTGTGAAGAGTTTCCAAAGATCCATCACCTTGAAGCACTCCGAAAAGTTTTATTATTCCCATTTTACAGGGGTATTGAGGCACAGAGATCTGAGTTGACAGGTTTCAAACATACCATATAATCCCGAGTTCAAAAGTATGCTCACTGTCAATTTTCAGTGTTGATATGAAACATATATTTTTTTTCCACACAAAATGTATGACTCTACAGACACTTCCTCATAGTCTGTGTAACCATGTGTGCCCTGCCCTTTCACATCCCCGCTGGCATGCTCTCTTGCTTCCTCATGTGGGATGGAAACACTAGGGGAGCCTTTGGTTGTGGATTCCTTGAAAGGACAAGCTGTTTCTTAGCAAGCCAGAGAGGAGAAAACAGCGAAAAGCTGACCAGTGATGCAGGAAAAGGGCAGATTTAGGTGTGGTGCTGAACAAGCAATTTGGAGAGATGAGAAGAAAGTAGCTTTTTCAGTGATTCAGTGTCACCTGGCATCTCTTGAGTCAGTAGTGCCTGCAGGAGGAGGCTTGAAGTAATTTTCAAATGAGTGCTGCTGTTGTCATTGTTCCAACTTTTCTGGGCATTTTAACAATGCTTGCCTAATGTGTTTGCACACACCACAGAAGTGACTTATGGGCATTTTTTTGCAGAAGTTACTTCTAGCAATATTTTAGTAATGTACAGAAGAATCAGTGTACCCTGAAGAAAATGTGGGTTTTCTTCTTTCTTCCTTCTTCCATTTCCACGCAGATACTTAGAGGGATATATAAGCCCATAAGAAGAAAATATATTGTCATAGCACTAAAGAAATGTTATCTATTTAATATAAGACATGATGTGTGGAAATATGAACTAATTGATCCCTAGGTACATTGTTAGATAGAAAGCTGAGAATCATCCAAGTTGCTAGACAAATTCCAGGTCTCAGTGATTGTAGCATTGCTTTTGTATGTGGGAATAGAGATCGCATTGCAAAAATGTATAAAGCTTTGAAATTACTGTGTTTTGAATGACAGTCTTATTTCTTAAAGGATCATTTATAATAGAAGGTTGAGGGTAGGGAAAAATCATAGGGTGATCTTTTTCCTTTAGTAGGTTGTAAAGGCTTACCAGCCAGTGTGGTTAATGTCCAAAGGACTAAATCCTGCCTTTACAGATCAACACTCAACTGAATTTCAAACCTATGTATGTACAGGAGACTGCCAGGTTTACGTGCCTGAGCTGGGGAGGAGATTCAATGAACTGAATTAAGATTTGCATTAAATTTCATTCATAATGAGAATTGCGGCTTCCCACATGTGTGGGTGTGATTGAGTATGATACAGTGAAGAAGGAAAGCCAGTAAACAGAAGAAAGATAGTGGAGGAGTAGTTCTTGAGTTCCCAACAAAGCTTTCCAGAGTAGCCACCCTGATAAGGGTGGTGGATGGGTTTTAGGTTTCCTGCAGAGCTATAAGGGATCTGCGCTTTACCATCCCTGGACTCCAGCTGAACTGATTTGCAGATGCAGATGGGTGGAAGAGAGCAATTTTACTCCAGAACATGTGAAGGAGCTTTGATTATGCAACCACTCAAGGTGATCCTTATTATGAAAGTGCTTTTTCTCTTCTGGTCCAGTTGGGTGAGACCTGTATGGGTGACCTATTTTGAGATAAAACTGAAGGAGACTCTGAGAAAACATCTCTAGCATGAGTTAAATGTAGAGCTACAAACTTAGTATAACCCAGTTGTGCATCCTTCTTCAAGTCCACTTATCCAGGTCACACCTGTCCCATGGGCAAGGGGAAATGAGGCAGCACTTTAAGAGCCCTTCCCTTCTGTATTCTTCTGTCACTTCCACAGTCTGCTGCCGTGTTTTAAGACCTTGAAAAGGGAATTTAGAAAAGGAGCCAGGGAAAGGACTGGCCATAAATCATGCTTGATGCTCACTGATGTTAAAGGCAGAACAGTAATGCATCCAGTCGCATTCTGGATAGTTTTTTCACGCTTTATTCATTCTTTATGGTGGAGAATTCCCTACAGAATAATTTTATAGGATCGGCTGCTGGCTATTTGGATCCATCAGCAATATCAGAATCCCACAGCTTGAACCCATGTACTTCCTCCATATGGGACTTGACATTTGAAGCCTACATGGCTTTTGGGAGATTTGTATTGCTAGCTGTTACTAGTTAACTTTAAAAGTTGTTACTAGTTAACTCACAGCTTCTTCACCTCAAAAGTTAAATGGAAATGTTGTTGTTTGTTTTTTTCTTTTCTCTTTACAGGCTGTTACCCAACTAGAGCTTTTCGGGGACATGTCCACTCCTCCTGATGTAACCTCTCCCCCAGTAAGTACTCAGGGAAAATGAAATGTGCATTTTTCTGCATGCTATTTTCAGCACATTTACAATTCAGGTCATCAGCCGTTCCAGTAGGGAAGATTTCAAAGTAGTTTTTATGTTGCAAGAAAATAGAAGTGAAGCAAATTGAATGTGGAGTCACTGCTTCATGATGATGTGCAAAAATATCTTCAATTTTTGTTTTTCTGATATAGAGCTAGGTGTCACATAAGATATAACCTGAGCTGCAGATATCCTTCCCAGGTGTTTATCAGAGGTGCATGCTTCGCTGCACTCTGTCTCTCCACTGCACTGCAGGAAGATCCAGTTACAGCCTTATATATCACGTCTCTTCAGTTTCACCAAACACATATCCCAGAACTGCTGTTATAGGAAGGAAAACAAAACAGTAAAGAGAGAAAGGGCTGAATGTGTTTTGAAGGCAAAGAAAATTTTCTCAACATGGTTTTCTGCATCATAAAATGAAAACACAATAATTTCCTTTAAAGTTTTTGAGTGTTACATTGAGCTGTAGGGGAGCACTGGGAAAACGAAGGTGCTGTGAAGTCAGGAGCCTCAGATCTCCAAGGTATTGTGGAGCGTATCTGGGACTAGATCTTCAAAGTCCTGTCTCCTCATCCTTAGCTTGCTCAATTGGATTTGGTTTCTCCTTTAATGTAGACCTATGGTGTTCTGGTCCTGTTGCTTAATTGGAAGCAATATTTATTCACTTTTCCATAAATTCTGCAGATACCTCATTTGCCTTTACTGATTTTTACGTTAGTGCCTTGGTCACTGCCTCTACTGGTTGTCACCTAACACCTAGAATCACAAGTCTGTATGTTCTGGAGAAAGAAATTATGTCAATATTTTGCATATGATGTATTCCAGGCAAATTTTATTTTTATTTTTTCCTCTGGTACAAATTTTCTCATTTTCTTTCTTTTTCTCCTGTCTCCAGCAAATTCTAATGCTCTTATTTCTATTGCTTCTTTCCCTCTACGTCTTTGCATTCCTTTTTCTTTCTCTTTCTTTCTTCCAAACCTGTATTCTTAGAGTTACAGATGATGTGACAGCAAAGTATGTGCTGCAGAAGCTGCAGATGATCTATCCTCATTGCATTTTATTCCTGTCTTCTTGCAGACTCCTGCTACTCCAGGTGATGCCTTTATCCCATCTTCATCCCAGTCACTTCCTGCTAGTACAGACATGTTTGGTTCTGTACCTTTCAGCACTGCTGCCGTACCCTCAGGTAAGAAATCTACTGGAAATATAGTCTTGACTCAAATTTGGGGATCAGTGCTCAACTCTGGTTTACATTTCAGTACTCAGGGCGTTAAATTAGTGCAGTGGAAGTGGGGAAGGATTTTGAGGACAGTGCTGCAGGGCAAGACAAAACAAGTCTTTAACAAGCAGGGGGTATATTAGTTTGAGTTTACCCACATTTTCCAAAACAAAAGCCAAAAAAGTCGCTGTGAGTTCAACCATAGTTCAGCCATCTGGATAACACGTATTCTAGGTACGGTACCAAGAGAGAAAAAAGCGTTTAGTTTAGCTTTGCTTTTTTAGCGGTAGCAATGAATATCCTGTGCTGTCTCCTGTAAGTAGAGAATGAGACATGGAGAATTTGATTGCATTTCAAAGGTATTCCTCTTAGTCAAATCCTGATATTTCCTGTAGACTTTAATGTGTTTCTCAAACTGCTCAAAATTCAAAAGCTGTGTAACATTCTGCACAGACACGCAAGGCATGTAGTTTTGACTGCTGATGTCTCCCTGGGATACTCCGAGCACAGCACTGCAAGAGCAGCGCTCTCAGCTCCACTTACAAGAAAAGAAGGAGGAGGAGCGCCTTGAATCATTCAACAGTGATTTTCTAATTGGTTAACAACTCCTGTGATGGGATGCGTTGTAGCATCAGATTAGCCACTGCATCTCAGAAAGGTTTCACTGATGCTGAAGTGTTTGGGAATAATGTCAGATGAAAATCCTCGCTGCTTGGATGAGGTTACAGTGGGGGCAAGATAAAAAGACATCTGGAGAATCCATCATAGCCATATATTGAAATAGATATGTATCTGAGTTATTGTTCCTTTGATCAGTCATTAATTTGGTCTTTCAAAATTCAGTTTCTATTTTTTACTCTATTTTATTTTGGGCTTTTCCCTTTACAATTTTGCAATCACCCTTAGTTTTAGCATTACAAAACAGCCTAGAAATGAAGCAAAGAGGAAAAGGTACAGCAGGACTCAGAAAAACGCTCAGGTTAGAATTTTAAAGCTGTGGTAAAAGTGAAAGAGAGGTTGCATATTGTAAAGTATTAGCAGTAGATCATTAATTTAAATGTGAAACAGCGTATCTGTAAAATGTAATACTTCTGTCAGTGGAACATAATTGTATTATGTGGTTTAATTTGTAGCAGTTTTTACAGTAGTTCTAGTTTCAGGGTTTTTTTTTTTTTCATTGTAAATAACAAAGCACCTGATCATATGATTCCTACACAGTCAAACTCTTGGTCACTTGAAAAGAGGCTTCAGGTCTGACAGGAAGCAATTATAATTTTATTTTTAGTCTTTTATTTCCTCCCCAACTGGAGGAGGCTTATGCTAGCATACCACCTGAAGCAGTTTGTTGTTATTAGAGATGTAGTACAGCAGAAGCTTAGGATCTTTTTGATGTTCTCAAGTAACTGGGTAAATAACACAATGTGTGGGGTTTTTAAGGTGAATTCATCTGGGCTCTGTCTTTTTATTATGCAATTGGAGACACTTGCTTTGCTCTTCAAAGTCCCAACGGTTTGAACTGTAACTGTGTCAGAAGAGATGGCACAGAGTCCGTCTCTTGCAAGAAGGTCGCACTGTTATTAGAGAGCCCTTGAGCTGTCATCCAACATATATAAAAGTGCTTCTCTGTAACTTAGAGTCAGTTTTGTAGCTGTGCCATTGTCAGGAGTTGGCTGGTGTTGGTGGGCCACTGTCCCCAGAAAAGAATAAAAGTGAAAAGAATAAGGAACTGTGGCAAAGCTGCGCAGAGGGGAGTGAGTCCTGGGCGTCCTCTTCCTTCCCTCTGCTTGCTCTGGCTGCTCATTTTTCAGCAGTGTATGGGCTGCTCTGAAAAGATGAACTCCATCCCAACCTGACTCAGTGCATGATGCTCAGTCCCAGAGATCTTTGCTCAGAGAGGAGCAGGACAGGCAGATGTGAAAGGCAGAGGATGGGGTGGTCAGGGTAGCAAGAGCCTGCAAAACTCAGCGGTGAGGAGCAGGGTTGTGCTGCAAGGGGGCAAGTTTAGGAAATGTTTTGGGAGTTGCTGTGGTTCTGGTAAGTGGTTGATTCAACCAAACAGATCCTGGCTGTGCTTTGACAGAGCACCAGGGAAGGGAGCTGCTAGATCCATGCACACAGGTTTTCACAGACCCATGGGGGTGCACACTGAGGAAGAAGAGAAGAGTGTTTTTGTTCAGATGAAGGGAAGAATTATTGCCAATATCCACCGACCTGTGTGTTTGTATACATGTATTTGTTCAGTGATGTGAATTCAGCTATGTCTTTCAGTTTTCCTTTTGAGTGTTCTGAAGCTCTGGCATCACTAATGTAGCCTGCATGTTTCTGATTTTTTTGTGAAGATTTTTTTGCATTCTTTTGACAGTATTGTTAAAATCTTTCTTTTTTTTTTTTTTTTTTTTTTTTTTTTTTCCCCCCCCCCCTTTTTCTTTTTTTTTTTTTTTTTTTTTTGTTTTTTCCCCCCTCCCCTGCTCTCTTTATTCTCTGAAGGTTATGTTGCCATGGGAGCTGTTCTGCCCTCATTCTGGGGACAGCAACCACTTGTTCAACAGCAGTTGGCCATGGGTGCTCAGCCTCCAGTTGCTCAGGTGATGCAGGGAGGACAGCCGATAGCGTGGGGCCAACCCGGTATTTTTCCTCCTACTCAGCAGCCGTGGCCATCTGTAGCTGGTCAGTTCCAACCAACTGCCTTCATGCCAACACAAACTGTTTTGCCTTTACAAGCAGCCATGTTTCAAGGTACCATTGCTCCTATAGCTACTGTTCCACCCACAAGTGATTCCAACAGATCGAGTCCACAGACAGACAGGCCCAGACAGAAAATGGGAAAAGAAATGTTTAAAGATTTCCAGATGGCTCAGCCTCCACCAGTGCCATCAAGAAAACCAGATCAGCCTTCCCTCAGTTGTACCTCAGAGGCCTTCTCAAGTTACTTTAACAAAGTTGGGATGGCACAGGAAGCAGATGATTGTGATGACTTTGACATCTCTCAGTTAAATTTGACTCCTGTGACTTCCACGACACCATCTACAAATTCACGTGAGTATTCTTACACTTTCAGCCGTACCTCTCCTCAGACGTGACTGCTCCTCAAAGCATTTATTTCTTTCTTTCATACAGCAAATTGTAACACAGATATGGACTGAGAACCTTCATGCATGGTCTATCTTATTAAATGTGTTCCAGCCATAAAGAAAAGTATCAGAGAGGAATTTCAGAGACCATTGAAATCAACAGCTCTGATAGCTACAGTCTGAAATTTAATTTCTAAGACGACAGTAATATGACATTCAACCTTACAAATGGTTTCACATATGTCCCATTCAAGCCATACTTTGCAGAAATTAGGGGATGGGTATTTATTTTAATAGCTTGATGTATTGGACATGTGGGGGAATTCATTGAGAAGCTATAAAATAAGCTTATCGTGTTCATAGCATGGAGATGGGGGATTTTGCAGATTGCTGAAAAGAGGAATTCATGAGGCACAAATTTACCAGGGGCCAGCCGGAGACCTTCTGTTTTGCTTACCTGCCACAGGGCAGGCAACTCATGCATTCTTAATGTAATGTAGTAGCGTCACCTTGGTTCCTAAAGACATACACGAGATGCAGCCAACTTAATTTGGAAACTGCTGAATGAAATCAAATAGATGGAATTCATAATGACTACTGTGTTCAAATATACCTCTTAACAGCTCCTTGTCAGAAAATAATTTTCAGGGGTAATAAAAGTTGAGGGCTCTAAAGCATGAGCAAATTTTGTGCTGCTGTGTCTTTCTGAACAAATTAACAGATACACATTCTGTTGCTGTTACCTTAATCTTTGTTTAGCTCCAACCCCTGCACCCAGACAGAGTTCTCCATCAAAATCATCAGCATCTCATACCAGTGATCCTGCTGCAGATGACCTCTTTGAAGAGGGGTTTGAAAGCCCAAGCAAAAGTGAGGAGCAAGAGGCTGTGAGTAGCACCAAGGTTTCTAAATACTGATTAGCTCTTTTTAGCTAGAAAAGAAATAAGTTATTTAAATGTTGTTCGGTAGAGACAGAAGGAACTGTTCTCATACAACTGGGTGGTATTTAAGGGGGAGCTGCAGACAGAATTAACTTCGTGCTTTGGTTTTGATAGCTAAGAGCACGACATTTCTGTTGATATACACTAATATTGCATACAAGGAACCAAACTCAGAGTTCATGTGTGAGGTTATATATGTTAGTCGTATCTGGTCTCCCTTTTAGCATATCAGCATTCATTTTTTGGTGGTAAGGAAGTCCAAGGTAAAACAATGTACATGCTGAGGCTGCAGAGAGAGATGTGAGAGTTTGTGTGTTAAAAGATGATGGTTGATGTTGTCCTGCACATTCTTGCATCCCGGTTGCTTGCCTAGTTACATTCCTCAGTGTTCTGGCCCTCAGTATGTGATTTCTTTGCCTTAGACTCAGTGAACCAAAGCAAGAAATGTTATCCAAGCAATTACTTTAAATCACAAAGTGTCTTAGGCAGATAAGAGCACAAGTGAGCCAAAGGTGAAAGGGAGTCTGTACAAAAAAAGGACCCAAAGTTACAAAATAACACAAGCTTGGATTTTTTCTGATTCACATCGTTTCACTGGCTTTTAGGGCCTTTTGCAGTTCTGGTTTGTCTGACCCAGTACCTTCTGAAGTCTGTGGCAGCTCCTGCATGGGCTCCAGCAGGTACTGGTGAGGTCCTTTCCTGCGTGCATCAGCTACGGGAAACCATTATGGCTTTTGAGATCATATCAGTGGTGAGGTCTCACTTTCTGGTTTTCATGAGATGTACTTGTTATGCCCACAGCATGAAAATAACCTCGTGTTGACTTTTCACTTTCTATTGTTGAGAAAAAAAGGTGTTATGTTCTTGTATTCTAGCCTGATGGGTCTCAGGCCTCATCCAACAGTGATCCATTTGGTGAGCCAACTGGTGATACTATAAGTCCACAGGTCGGTAGCTAGATAGCGCAGGTTGGGGTAGGTATCTGTCCTTTTTTTCTCTACATCTTGAGGTGCTCACTTATTCTTCCACCAGTGCCTACCATTGCTTTCATGGATGCATGGTTTATTTTTCCTTTCCATCTCTTCTGTTTTTCCTCTCCATTATCCACAGTGTATTCCTCATGCTCAGTGGTTTGCATGGCTTTTGCCATTCACTAGTGTTGCAGCTTATGCAAATATGTGTGTTTCAGCTGCCTGCATGCTTTAAAGAAATGTAGACTTATTTTACTTTGTGTTCAAATTCTAAGGGGGAGTAGGGAAACTGAGCCATTACTAACAATGTATTAGGCAGAACTTTTTTTTTTTTTTTTAATCAAATCCACTCTGGTCTTTAGTCAGATGTAACATATTAAATGGAATAAGACATCTTACCCATAGACATAACAAACATTAAATAAAATTATGTAATAACACATGAACACCTCTGTCCTAGATCAATGTGATAATCACTAGAAGAAGCACGTTTATTATCCGCATGTAAAAAATATTGAAATGGGTTTGTGTATTATCTCCAACTGCAAATTAAAAACATCTGAAAATTATGATTATTCATATTACCATTGGTATACTGATGTTTTAAAAATTATTCATCAAATGTAAGTCATTTCAATCCAGACAGACGGGGAAGATGATCTTTTCGTCTTTTGTGTTACAGAACACATTAGAAAATGTGGCTGCCGGTGAATGTTCTGTGATTTGTTTCAATACAGTATATATGTTTTACCAAAAAGACAGTAAAGCTACAAAGTTTTATGAGTGCTGAGCCTTGTTATTCCATCCAAATACTCTCTAGTGTTACTATTTGAAGGATACGTTTCATTATCTTCTCCCTGTCTGCCATTCATGTTTTGTATTACCCGAATACGTGATCTGATACAGCTTCTGCGCTTCAGCACAGAGCTTCTGGAGCAAATCCATGATGATAGTAGAACACTTTTGGTTTTTGTACAGAAATTGCACTGTGTTTACCCGTGACTTATCCACCCTGAGCTGAAGTAATTTGGTTTCAACTCTAAATTAACAGTTTCATTAGAGGTCAGTTTACTTTGTACATTAAATATGGTTAAAAAAATCTTACAGTAACTTAGCTTTGATCCTCTTGGGAGTACTAAGATTATTTCTTAATAATACGTGGTGCTGTGAGAAGGCATCTCCCCCTTCTTTAGCTTGACCAACGAAATGATCAGCTCGTGGTGGCTGAAGCAAAAGTAGCGTTAAGCTTTGTGTCTGTTGAGTCTAAAAATGACAGTGTAAGGATAAAGTCAAGCTGCGATGAGCTGCTCTAGCAAGAGCATCTGTGGGTTACTGTACTCCAGCAAGAACTGCTTCTGCAGATGGATGGTGTCACATAGTAATTTGACTTTGCCTTTGCCTGACCTCAGCCAGCACTGGCATAGCCAGCTATCCCAGCTTCAGACCATTTCAAGAATTCTTTCCTAGATCAAGAAAGATTGGACCTTTATCTGAGTCCCACACTCTGCAAACCCATACACATTTGTTTATTGCGGTTTATACGAGTCAGGGTAATTCTGAAATTCATCATAGGGAGAATAATGATAAAATCTCTTCCTAATTTTCTGACTGTCACAAAGATAGTTAGCATCATCATTTGTAAACTAGCATCACACACATTTACCTACCAGGAGTTTTGAATATAACTTGAAACAGTAGTTTAAGTCTGTTAATGCATATTACTGTATAAGGCAGTCAAGTGAGGGACTCCTTTTGTTCTGCTTTTATGTAACGCTTAGTAAAATACGTTCTTTTACCTGTCAAGGGTCTCTGGGAGCTACAAGAACAGTATATTACCAGTGATTCAATATGTTTTTTTCTATATTTTTTGTTAATCCTTGTGGAATCTAGTATCAAATATGTATAATTCTCAGAAATATATTCTGGGAAGTGTTAAATAATGTTAGATTATCGTATTACAGTAATTCCTAAAAGCTGTAGGCAGGAACAGAAAGCTGAACAAAAAGAAAACCTCTATCCAGTGAAGTTACACTAATATCATTGTGCCTCTGTGCAGTGCCATTCAGCAGCAGTCTGTAGGAAATCCACTTGCTAAAACCAGCCCATCTAATTCTGAAGCCTGGTATCGTCAGAGCAACGGAAAGTCTAATCTCCATGGAAAATTACCAATTCAGGACTTACTACTGTGTTGTGTATTGAGCTCTGCATTTGGAGAGAAACTTAATGGGGAGAAACATGTAGTACAAAAGAATCACAGTCTACATAAAAGCCACTTTTGTGTGTTAGATGGGAGATTACTTTGCTCTTTAGAACATGGTTCTTCACACCAAGAACAGCACAGTATACAACTCAGATGAATGGACCTCTCAGGAGCATGGCATAGTATTGTGTTCAGAAATTTCAAATATATCTGTTCCCAGCATCTCTATGAAATCAGCTATGCCTGTACAATATCTGTACTTATCTTGATGTATTCAGACTATTCACCTGCCTAGCATTTTGTACCCTGATCTTTCAAGGTACCCTAGCAATTTGGTTTCTTGATTCCTTCTGCTACTGCATATTTTCATTTAGAAATAATTCAGCATCTTTCAGTTACTATCTTCAGTTCTCCATTTTTCCTCTCTTCCTTTTGCGATCTTCAACTTAAGCTCTCAAAATCCTCATCCTACCAGTAGCTGTTCTTATAAGTCGCTCTTCTACAAATAGCTCTGGGTTCTTAGTAGGTAAATATGACATTTTGTATCTATGTTACGTTTTTGTCCTTTATGGTTGGAGATAAGCAACAGACAGACCTGACTTTCACAGGTGGAATAAAATTAACTCTTTGCAGAGCTGTTCATAGCAAGATTTGTATTTGGTTGTTTCCCTTTGTTCATGAGCAGCATTGAGGATGGATGATGATTTTCCAGAAGGGGTAAGGAGAACACTGAATAGGACGACTGCTATCTTCAGCTGACTTATGTTTAATCCCTACTGCTGTCTTTAGATTGTGTGTGGGATAACTATGGTGAAAGGAGAGAGAGGGAAAGAACTGTATTTTGCTGTGATTCTACCTAATGTGTTAAACATTTGTTATTATTGGCATTTTGGATTAAAGCAACAAGTTTGAACAGAGGAGTTTTCACCTGGTCATCCTCTTTGCATCCGTGCCCTCAATCAGCCTGAATTACAGGGTGCTAGGTGCAGACCCTGATGGTGTGGATATTTCTGTCCTTGGTGGTATTTCAGCCTCAGACACTGACTGAGCTTCAGCAATGTGTCTAGCACACTGTGACACTATGAAGCCCTGAAGCTATACAATTGAAAGCTTAGCAAAGACTATAGAAAGGGGAGCCTTCAGACATGATGAGAAAAGGGAAGGAGCAGAACAAACTTTGACTCACTGATGCCAGGCTTCTTTGGATACCTGTGGTTATGTTGGCCACCATCTCCTAACAAAGCATCCTGATTGTAGAAAGAATAAATTTGGTGTGAATACTGGGACTGGATATCACAAACATAGTCTAAACTCCATATCAACCAGATGAACTGGTTCTTGAAGGCAAATAGCAACAGGGTGAAAATTCTGAAAGAGAATAAGGGAATATTTGATACCACAATCATTGCAATAAAAGTAATTTTAAGTGCTAAAACAAATGCAGCTTTATTGGTATGCTGCCCAGTTCAAGACATGCACCGGCAGTCGTTTGTGAGAGATTCTCAGAAGACGTTCAAAACATTTATGGCTAGAGTGTATCTTCCTGAAAAAGTTGTTCAATTGTTCTGTGCAATGTGTGGAGACAATTATAAGCCCTCAAAATAGTCACACCATTCATGATGCTATCAGCACTGTCAGGAGAGCAACAGTTCATAGAATATTTGTCTATCAGCTTTTGGTGGTAGTTCAGTGGCCCACCGCCATCGTCCGTCTTTGAGCAAGTGCCATTCTTAATGATAAATGTTCCTAATAATCTTAGTCAGCTTCAGGATGGACTGCTGTGACTCTTTATTTGGGCTCTTATTAGGAAGTTGAAAGAATATAGCCACTTATGGACAAAGCATTGGCTTATCTGGGAGCTTAGTGAGCCTCAGGAGGGCATATTAAGCTGATTCTGCATCCTCCTCTTCCTTCTGCCCCCTTTCTATTGCACTAGCACTCTGAATGGGCTCAAAATATCAAAGGCTATATTTGCAGGATCTGTTACTATCATTCATCTGGCTCAATAGGAAATGAATAGAGTCCAAAGAGAAATTCATAATGATTATAGGTGACCTATTGTTACTGTAGGCTCTAGAGCGATCATTCTCGGACTAAAGACACCACACCGAGCAGGGCTGTGAACCTGAGAGAGAAGTAATATATAGTAGTATTGTGTGTTTGGAAAGGGATCACGATTTAGGAAGTACTACTTCATTCCAGAGAAATCCTAAAATTGTCATTTCGGGCCTCATGCTTGTTTGTTCATGATCGTGTTTGCTAGGGAATCTGAAGGGATGAGACCAGAGAAGTTCAGGCTGCTCTGTGAACAGAGGCATCCTACAGATTTGCCTTCATCTCTGCTGCTACAATCCCCTTCAGCTATCCATTTTAATGTGACCAGCTCGTACACGGGTTTCTCACTTCTTGCAGTGTCTCCAAGCCCACTTGAATTAGCCAGGTACCCTTCTATTTCTCCAACTTCTTCCTCTAAACAAGAGACAACGTACTATGTAGCTTGTCTGGAGCCATGTGCTTGCTGATTGGCAATCCAGCAATTTAATTAGGAAATGAGCTCTCATAGCTTTCTCTGTAATAAGGTCATTTAAAAGTTCCCCATTTTCTGCATAGTAACTGATTTTAAAAAAGGCACTTGCGATAATTTAGTGTCTTTGAGACTTCTGAACAATTTGCTTCAAACTGGCCATCAGGTTCAAAAGTTATGAAGGAGAATTGACAGATATGTGGATAGAAAGTGTAATTGCATGGCTACTGTTTTGTTAGGAAAGGGGCCCAGAAATAATAGGCA